CTGAAGTACCAGGCAAGCAGAAATGAGTAGAAGGTTGAGAAATGTTAGTTAACAGACATCCTTTATTATACCTTGTAAGTATTTTAGGAATAAAATACATAATATAAGAAATATGGTAAAAATGTAATGTTGAAGGTAAATAAATGAAGCATTTGCATAAATGAATAAAATCTGATTTTCTAATTTAACGGGTAAATTTGAAGAGAATTTATATATTCAAATTTTAACGAACACATGTTAAATAACAGCACCCTAGCAGAATTATGTTACGCCTCTGTTACTTAACAGCAGCTTAACAGAATTCTGTTATGTCTCTGTTATTTAACAGAATCTTAACAGAATTCTGTTACTTAACAGTGCCTTAACAGAATTCTGTTAAGGTGCTGTTATTTAACATTTTCGACCTGCTACTCATTCCTGTTCGCCTGGTACTTCAGAAGAATTTATTATAAAATTCAGTGGCCAACGGCCACAAAAGCTGCCCCGCAATGCTATGCAACAACATTTTTTCAGTGCTTCTTTTGTTCGTTAAGATTTGAATATATAATTTCTCAGTAAATTTGCTCGTTAAATTAGAAAACCAGATTTTATTAATTTATGCGAAAGCTTCATTTATTTACCTTCAAAATTTAATTTTTTTCTTATTTCTTATATTATATATTTTATTTATAAAATATTTACAAGGTATAATAATATTTGTTATTAAATTGTTAAATTAAATATCGTTGAAATAACTTCCAGACCTGTTGACTTTTGCGAGCTCGCCACTTGCCACGACCCACTCTGAAAATAGAAATATATACATTAGTATGAAACAAGAAAGTCAATCAAAAACATTCTATTAATATATCCTGGAATGTTTTTTAAGGCTTTTAAGCATAGATGGTAGGGACATTCTGATACTGGTAAAAATAATTGGTGATAAAAAATTAAATTTTTCTCAGTCTACATTTGCAAGGATACTACCAAGGTAAGTTCAGGTAAGGTCAAAAATTAAATATATATTTTTATTGACAGACTCTACAGCTGAAGTTTGTTGGTTAATTCGATCCATATTTTACATTTCTATATCAAATCTAATTAAGCTATTGTTAGACGAATTTATTTACTTTAAATGTATATGTATTACAAATGTATGTGTTGACTGTGTCTTACAGTGCACATTGAAGTTTTAGACGCTGAGCAACCCTTGCCAGCCAGATTGCCATTGTATATCGTTGAGCTTATGTCAATTTGACATTTTATTCCAGCTCAACATATCAGCTGTGCAGGCCTAAATTTTAAACATTTTAACAACAATAATTTTCGACTAAATATCAATAAAAAAATAGTCTTGCTATCCAAACAGTCTGAAATTCTGTCAGTCTTGCAACAAATAGTTCAGGGTAAGTTATTCGTGCAAACTTTTAAGGCTAATTAGCAGTCATGGGAATTGTTCGGCCATATATGTAGTTATCATGGCCAGTTGCGATGTGCAAGCCACTCCATCGGATGAGAATAAAAATGAGGACCCAGCGCAAGGCGGAACGAAGGCCGAATCAGTCAATAAATTCGAAGCACGAATCACAAACAGCGGAACTGTCCATCAGCCAACGAGGATTCCGGGACCCGTACGCTTGGATGAGAACGGTAGCTACATCCAAACAAGTACTCGCAAGTACAACTCTCTGATGAAGACGCTGCAGACGAGGAGCGAGATGGACGATAGTTTCAGCAGCACCAGCACACTGGTGAACACAACTGAGGATTCTGGCGTCCAAATGGATTGCTCAATAACTGTCGACGACGATGATTCCAGTTCTGAAATCCTAACCCAGTCGAGCAACTCCACGCCATGCGAACAGCGCAGCTCGGAGACAATCGCGACCAGTGGAAGTCTGGATGAACTGGAGGCCGCCGAACAGCAGACGTTGAGGGTGCTGCAACGCGCCGTGGCCGAAATGGAAGCAGATGTCGCATTGCACGCTGAGATACTTGAAGAACAGATCAAGCTTGAGCTGGAGAACCAATTGAATTTACACATTGAGAACGAAGTCCAAAAGGAGATTGAAAAGACGCTGATGCAACAAGCAATGAATCAGCAGGAACAGCAGCAGCAGCAGCAAGATGAGGAGCAGCAAGACCAGCAGCAGCAACTGCAACAAGAGCAGCTGTGGCAGCCGCATCAAGAACACCCACAGTCAGAAACGGAATCTATTCAGGAGCTTGACTTTGAGCTAGAACTAAATCTGCAGTTGATGCCAGAGCCAACAAATCTCCAATCGGATTTCATCGATCTGTATCAGCCCCTGGACGGCAAACAGACAAGCAATCCATGTCCCAGGGCTGGCACTCGCGAGCGAAAGCACGTGCGAGTGGAGGAACTACTTGAGGCAGAGCATGACATGGAGCTGCTGCACAAGCTGCTCCAAATCGACAACGATCAGTACACTGGAGAGATGGGTGCTCTGGCACAGCCCCATGAGATCCAGTGTCTGCCTGACCTGAATGCTGGCAGGGATATGCTAGTCAACCTGGATAGATTCACGACTGAGGACGAGTCTGAGTGGCATCGAAAGCGAGTGAGCATCTTTCACTCGCTGCTGCAGATTTTCTGCGGAAACCGCATCCGCAGGCTGAGCTACCCCTTACTATTTTGTGGCATGGCTGTCGGTTTGATTTATTACTTTCGTAAGAATTAGGGAATTGTAGGCGTACACATTTTAAAATTCAACCACACAAATTCCTGAGCTTTGTATACGCGCGACGAACCGCAACAAAATCGAACTCACCTTGAGCTCTCAAAATTACATTTATTTTTATAAAACCAAAAAAATAAAAAGAAAAAAAAAATACCAAAACAATAGCAAAAATATCGCCAATACAGGCACAAATCCGACGACGCTACAAAAACTCCCAAAGTATAAATCACTGTTCTCGGAACTGAACAAAGCAATTGTATCAAAATGATATATATAGTATATAGTCATATATGTATATATATTGTAGCAAACACCCAAAAGCAATAAATAAACCATCAAGCGTTATTTTAGCAGTTTCGAAAATTATAAAAAAAACAATGTGTAACTGACACCTAAATTAAGCGAAGCATATGAAACAGCAAAGAATCGCAAAAGATTGCCTCACACAATAGATATTTAGTCTTCGGATAATAAATTGTAATAGTGCTGATACACATTTATAAGTCCTGTATTTAAGTAGTTTTTAGTTGCCCTCTTGAGGTAATCAATATTGTGGTTCATTTTTCTGAGAATTTTTTGGAATTTGGAAGGATGACGAGATATATTTTCACGCTGCTTAAATTAAAGAAAGTTTCTGCAAAGTGGGTAAACATAAATAAATATAATTACATACAGACTGCATAGGGTAGTTCGTCAATATTTGTAGATCAAAGCAATATGTATATACAATGTTATGTTATCTGTATGTAAAATGTTATATACAAAAATCGAAATACTTATGGCTATGTGGAAATTGTCAATATGTCTTTAAACGTGTCAAAATGCCAACAAATTTTAGGAAATTTCGGGGCCTAATTTAAATTGTTTGTTATTTTGTTTTTTGTTTAAAATCTGGGACAGAAATGGCCGCCATTGAATCCGTTGTGCTAGCCGGATTTTTGCATTTAGTAATTCGATTTGCTCTATATGTAACACCCCAAACCGTGCTAAAGACGCCAGGCCCAGCAACGCCCACGTTCATCGTCTGCTTGGCGCTAATGGATCTCATCTATCATACTCGCATAATACCGCAACGCTTCGATGATATGTCAACGACGTTTAAGTATGTTTTTGAGTCTGTGACGGTCATCTTCCTACTCGAGCTGGGTATGCTGCTTTGGGAATCGATCGAGCATACAATTTTCCTAGTTGTCAAAGGATCGCTACTGTCCATGAAAGTGATCTCGAGACCAACATATTACAAGCAGCAGAACGTGATAATCGGCGCCTTCACTCTGCCGCTGTCTCTGGTGATATTTGCTGCAGTTGAGCAGTCCCACAATAGCCAATAGAAAAGCAAAAAACAAATAACAAACTGTATTAAAGGCATAACAACTTAACTATTTGTCATTAGCGAAGTTCATTGAACAAATTCCTAGTTGGGTTTTGGGTGAAAGTGGAAAAAAAGAGAGTTTAACAAAGCAAATAAATCAAGTAAGGCATAAGGGGATATTCGATACATGTTAAGACTACGAGATCTTCAGGATGGCTAGCAGCACTTAGTTCTGCAGTTGAAGAGCCCAGAATTTTTTCTACAATTTGTCACCTTGAGGACTTTTTTGATATGTCTGGCTCTCATATGACAATTCTTTCGCAGTGATATTCTTTATTAAGTTTTATTACGTTCGAACGACGAGCCGAACTACTGAGAGAACTAAGAAGTATGTAAGAGAAAAGAGTGAGCGACGGCACGAATGACCGAAAGCTTTTTAGAAGCTCTTCGGCCGATTGCAAGTATTAAAGAGCTGATCGTAGCGCTGACTGTTGGGCTCTACCATTGGTTAGTGGCTCTACGCACACTACAGGACTGTGGGAAGACGAACTAAAGAGGGAGAAAATTATACTAGTGGGTATCACATATGTGGACTACATGCCATTCCCTATTCCATACACCTTTATCCAAGCCATCTGTTCAACACACTCTAATTCATCCACTCTTACAGTGTTTTATATTCATTCATGTTCTTAAACTATTTTTTCGCTGTCTTTTCAATTTTTATTCTAGGGTGTTTCCCTCTTTTAGTTTCTTCCCAATCATAATTTTGTTCGAATTATTACCTATAGAAGCCAATATACTAATATGTAAGTAACAACAGTTTAATTTAATCTAATCAATTTAATTGATTAAAAATAATATAAAAAATAAAGAAAATTATTAAATATATTTATCAGCAACAAACTTTCTTAAGACTTTTATCTTATCACATTGGCCTTGCCTAAAAATAATATTATTTGTTCTACATACACTTATGTGTTTTTAATATATATATTTTCTTTTAAATTTCTAGTTATTTTATTATAAAGTAAGTAATGACCTATGGTCTTACTGTCTTACTGTCTTGTCACTAAATATTTACCTTATAGACATGGCTTCAATAGAAGCTGTTCTGGTCGCCGGCGTAATGCACCTCGTCCTTCAGTACTCTCTGTATATAACGCCACTAACGACCTTTAGTACGCCTGGTCCCACTCTGCCCACAATTATTGTCTGTGTTGCCTTATTGGATATCATCTACGCAAATGACATTGTGCCACTTTGCATGGACGAGAGGCCCATGGTGTTCAAATATATTGCCGAATGTCTGGTGGCGATCTTCATACTGGAGGTGGGCATGCTGGTCTTCTGGCAGACATTGGAGCATGTTGTCGTCATGATAGCCAGGACCCTGCTGCTTGGCAAGGAGCTAGTTAGCTCGGAGTATTATTATGAGCATGAGGCGGTTCTGATTGGCGCCTTTACAGTGCCGGTATCCCTGATAGTTCTGGCCACCGTAGTTAGCTTCACCAATCATATGCCCAAGCTCTGTGATCGCTATATATCCAGACAGATGCAAGTCCACTTGAACCTTGATAAAGCCGTCGACTTCCTGAGCCGCTCCGATCGTTATAAGGATAGTAGATTTAGGGAGCTGCTCTGTACATATAATGCGAATGCAGCAGAGGCCCATAATCCCTCCTGGGTAAAATACTTTCAAAACGAAAAATAATCCATATATATTCGTACAGTTTTTTACTTTTCAAATAAACATAGGCATTTTTACAAAATATGTATGTATTCATAATTATTAATTTTATTTATTTAAATTACAAAATAACGACTATATTTGATTTGCTTTTTACAGCACTCGCGAATTTTTCAACAAGTTTGGAAAATATATTGCAATTTAACGCTCTTAATTTTCATACCTTTCTGAAGCAAGGTAATAATAGGTATTTATAAAGTATTTATTTTTTGTTGTTTCGTATAGGTAAATAATACTTAAGATTAAAACAAATTTACTCATAAGTTCGACTTAATTTCTGTTTTTAGTTATATTCTTCTTTCATATTTAAAGAGCACATGTTGGAGTTAACTATTTCTTAAGATTTCTCTTTTCATAAAGCAGCTTTCTTTTAATTGTTTATTGTTATTTTATCATTAATATTTCTTTCTTTTTTTTTCTTGCATCATAAGCTTTGCATTAAGCCGCGTAATTGCAGCTGATTTTCGAAGGTTACAAAAAAATATCTAAAGTGTGGACTGCGATTACGGCGATTCAATGCAAAGCTTTTGCATAACGCTCTCAATGAGTATTTTATGATTCTCTTCCTTGGGGGCAGTGCTAGAACTTTGCCTCGTTGCAGTGCTGAACATCTATGACCACAATTTACATTAAAGCAGCTATTTGTTTTTTCTTTTTTATAAGATATTATTCTTTTTTTTTTTTATTTTTTATATATTATTTTGTATATATTTCGTTGTTGGTTTACTGCACTTCGCTATCACTGTCACTCTTTTCTGCAAGATGAAAGACGATTTAGTTACTTTGGTCTACAAAGAGTATATGTTCTATATATGAATGTACCTTTCTTGCCCGTGTAAGCGTGACGTTTCAGTCGATCGTATAAGTCTTCTTTAGTTCCATAGAGCGACGCATTGGATCGTGCCAATGTGCTCATTTTGCCACCATGTAGACCTAGAGGAGAAGAAGAGAAAGAGACGGAGACGGAGAGAGAGAAGTTAGAAAGAGTTTTACAAAAAATTCCGGTTGAGTATGATCAATGCTAAGTAATACGATCATCACCCAAATCATAAGCTACTCTTGTCTCGATTCTGTTTAAACAATTTCATTCCAATTCTATTCAGCTCCTACGCTTTCATCTAATATATTCATCTTACAAAGAATCATCTCACTCTATTTCTCCATCAACGATGGCGTTTTAGGTTACTTATATTTTATTTTATATATATTATTTAAATAATGAAGCCAAAGCTAAAGAGTAATACTTTCGCTTACCGTCTTTCATGTAGGTTTCGTTGTAAAAGTTGGGCATCTCCCAGCCATCCTCCTCGTCGTCGTAGTAATGCGCATATGTGCTGTGATGCGAGGGCGCAATGGACTCCGCGTATGGCGTGTGGGCGCCATAGTAGAAGTTGACTTGGGAGCCAGTCTGATCGATTGCCGGCGCCAGCATCTTCTTTGGATCTCTGCGCTTCGTGGAGCGCACACAAATCATCCAAATGAGCAGCACAATGATTATGATGAAGATCACAGCACCGGCAATGCCTCCAGCTATGTAGGCGAATTCCGAGCGCTCGGCGCAATGGGGTCCGGTGAAGGAGCCGATACAGCGGCAGGAAGGCGTGCCCTTCAGATCCTTGACACAAGCGCCAGAGTTCTCGCAGTAGCCATCACACACATCTGTGCAGGCCATGCCAGTGCCGTTGAAGCCCGGCTTGCACTCGCACTTGAAGTCTGAGGTCTCCGGCTCCATAATGCAGTACGCGTTGACATCGCAATGGGGCTTGCCCTCGGCGATGTGCTCGCAGGGATTGGTGCACTCGCTCTTGGAGGTGGCTCCGGTGATCTTGGTGCTGTGATTGGGCGGGCACTGAATGCAGGTGGTTTGCTGAGACTCGGATTGATAGAAGCCCTTGCGGCACTCGATGCACATGTTCAGTGTTGCATTGAGATAGGTGCCGGGCGAGCAGACCGGCAGTGTGCATTCCTCCACCGAGCTGGCGCCCACCTTGGGCGTGGTGCGACCCAGCGGACAGGCAGCGCACGAGGGCTGCACGCCCTGCAGACGATAAGTGCCACGTGGGCAAGGCTCACAGCGTCCGTCGGCGCCCAGCTGCTGGCCAGAGCTGCACTCATCTCGGCACTCCTTGCGGGACGTTGCCTCCGTGGAGCGTGTGGTCTGGCCCAGGCCGCACAGCTCGCAGCTGAATGCGCCCTCGTTGGGCTGGTAGAAGCCATGGCCGCAGGAGCGGCACAGACCCGTCTCAGCATCGAAGTATTTGCCGGCCGGGCAACGCTCCTTGCAGTCAGCGGCAGAGCGCGCTCCCGGGCCAGCGGTCACTCCCGGACGTCCCGCTATTGTCGGGCACTTGCTGCACTGCTGCTGGCCAGTCTCGGACTGATAGGTGCCTCGAGCGCACGGAATGCACGTCTTGTTGGCGCTGTCATAGAACGTGCCAATGGCGCAGGGCACACAGTCCGGTATCATGACCACCTGGCCGACGGGACAAGCGTACTCAGAGCCGAGCTCCAGAGAAGCAGGATCGGGCACGGTGTTGGGCAGAATATCTTGAACGGCAAACTGATCATCCTCCAATATCAATTTCTCCAGCAATTGTTTCACACTGGAGCGCTCGCCCGTCGAGGTGTGCACCACAGGATCGCTAGGGTGGGAAAAGAACAAGGTGAGATTAGATTCGTGCTGTATAATTGGACTAGGTTTAAGATATTATCAGTTGGGTTAGCACGCAGAGAACAAAAAACCCCATGTGAAGTTAGCTTGAAGCATTAGACAGAGTTGCATTGTGATTGAGTTGGTTGGTTGGTTGATTGGATGTTTGGATTAGTCTGATTGACAGTGGCTAGTACTGAGGTGCGGAATGCTGGAGATCGGGTGCAGAATTGAATCGTTAAACGAATGTGGATGCTTGACATACTTAACAGCCGGGAAGGCTATTTCCAGCGTGTATGTGTCGCCGCCAGCTTGTTGGCGTCCCTGGCGACCTGTCAGCGCCAACTCGTCATCATCGCTAGAAATTGGGGTTAACGAACACATATTCATATACATACATATAACACAGAGAGTACACATATATACATCAAGACAGAGAATCATCATGCCAGACCGAAGACCCCCAGACCCCAATTTACTTACTTGACAACTGGCAGCTCGGCCTCCATCACATAGACACCGCCATCCTTCACCTGACGACGCACACGATTGTTTTGGGCGGCGCGATAGTGATCGCACTTGACATCGATTTGAATATCCTTGCACTCTCTGCACAAAAGAAACCTCATTAGTCAAACCCTTTCTTTCATCCGCCCAGTCCACTTTTACCTGGTGCCCTCAATGGAGTACGAGCAGAAGTTCCAGTCCCTGTTCAAAGCATTCACGGAGTTGGTCACCTTCTGGCGCAGCACCGCCTGGCCGGCCTTGTTGCAGAGCACATCCGAGGGGAATAGCATTTTGATGCGGAACACACGCTGGGCGGGCTTAGCCGGTGAACAGGATGGATAGACCAGTGGCATGGATGCTTCGCGCGTGGGACGCCAGAAGCCCTCGGCACCGCACGTATAAAACTCGGGCACCGGCTCCGAGAAACGCAAGCCGGTATTACAGGCAATCTCACAGACCTTAAACTGACCGCCTGCGCCCCAGTCCTTGCAGACCTGAGAGCCACCAACGGGATCGGCCAAAGGTGGACAGAACTCAGCTAGGACGAAGAATGAGTAGATTAGATTAGATGAGAACTTCTAAGAGCTTATTATAAACTTACTCAGTAGCGAAACCTTGAAGCTGCACGATGCCGTATTGCCAGCAGCATCCGATGCAATGTATGTAATATCATAGGTGCCCCAGAGCAGCGTTGTGCCCGATCGATGTCCGTTGCGCTCATAGATCTTGGTCACTCCGATATTGTCGCTAAAGTGTGGCTCGTCCCAGGTGACCACGGCGGAGCCATTCTTGGCAATGACCCACAAATCGCCTGGGCAGTGCTCCACAACTGGCGGTTCCTTGTCCACAACGAGCTGTTGACAATTGGCGCCCGTGTAGCCCACCTGGCACTTGCGTTGGCCGCACATGGAGGGCACGCTTCGCTCCACACCGCCCGCGGTCATCTCGTAGCCGCCCCAGTTCAGTATGAGACCGGAGTACAGCACCGGCTCGGAACGGCAGTCACGCACTTGCTTCTGAATCTCAGAGGTAATATCTAGAGCACGAGCCCAGACCTGCGCCTTGGTCACTGTGCCTTGGAAGCCGGCTTCGGTGTAGCCCCGCTCGTGCTTAATGCTGTCCGGTTGCGGGCGACCCAGCACGGACCAGAGGTAGGCAGGCAGAGTACCACCGTTGCCATACTCCAGCTTGCTGGCGATCAGACCCTCTGTGATCAGCTGCAGCTGACCATTGAGGCCATCCCAGACAACAGCCACGTGATGCCACTGGCCGTCGTTGACGGAGGTGTATTCGCCAAAGCTGAGGAACACATCGGGCAGATCCTCAAAGAGCGAGACCTGAACACCGCTCGAGTGAGCCTGCAGCAACAGACGACGGCGCTGGGTCATGCGAGCCGAGTCCACGCCGTATAGGGTAAAGAAGATGCCGGTGTCGTCCTTCTGCGCGAACTGCACCCACATGGCCACGGTCAAGCTAGTCGCCTCGCCGGTGGGGAATGGCACCACCTGGGCAGCGGTGGAGCGCGATGCGTCGCTGAAGTACAGATCGTAGTCCACCTGGATGGCCTTGCGGCAATCGTCGCCGGTCATGTTGAAGGGGCACTGGCAGTAGAAGCCATTGGTCAGATCCACGCAGCTCGCACCAGGCGGACAGGAGTTATCCTTGCAATCCACAATGTCCAGTTCGCAGTTCTTGCCCGTGAAGCCAGGCGGACACTGGCAGCTGTAGCCGTCGCCGTTGTCCAAGCAGGTGGCTCCATTCTGGCACACATGCTCCTCGCAGGCATCGTACTCGTACTGGCAGCCGATGCCGGCATAGTCCGCCGGACAGCTGCAGTTGAGGCCGGAGCCAAAGTCCTGGCACTTGCCGCCGTGCATGCAGGGATTGCCAATGCAGCGCTCGGGCGCCGTCTCGCAGTTCTTGCCGTCCGTGCCGCTGGGACACACGCAGAAGTAGTCCTGGAACAGATCAATGCACTTGGCATCGTTCTGGCACGGAGCCTGCACATTGCAGGTGGTCACCTGCTGCTCGCAGCGCATGCCGCTCCAGCCGGGTGCACAGCCGCACTCGAAGCCGCCGACGCGATCCCGGCAAATGCCGTTGTTGAGGCAGGGCTGTGGCTCGCAGTCATCAATGTCCGTCTCGCAGAGTGGACCCTTGAAGCCGTCACGGCAGACGCACTCGTACTTGTTGTCCAGATCCAGGCAGCGCTCGGTGCCCACGGGATGGCACGGATCGCTGAGGCATTCATCGATCTCCGCCTCACAGCTGAGGCCTACATAGCCCGGGCGGCACTTGCAGCTGAAGCCATCCAGCTGATCCACACAGGTGGCGCCGTGCTGGCAGGGATTCGAGGCGCAGTCATCGATCGTGTGCTGGCAGTTCTTGCCCGTGTAGCCCGGCTCGCAGTTGCAGCTGTAGCCATTGACCAGATCCACGCAGACGCCATCGTTGGCGCACGGCCGATTCTCGCAGTCGTCGATGTTGACATCGCAGGCGGGGCCCGTCCAGCCCGGCTGGCAGACGCACTCGTGGTCAAACAGACGGTCCACGCAGGTGCCATGCTTGCAGGGCTCGGATAAGCACAAGTCGATCTTCTGCTCGCAGCGTTTGCCGGTGAAGCCAGGCGGGCACGCGCACTGGAAGTCATTGACCAGATCCGTGCAGGCAGCGCCCAGCAGGCAGGGATTCTCCTCGCAATCGTTGATATTCTGCTCACAGTGCCTTCCCTCCCAGCCCGGCAGACACTCGCACTTGTAGCGGCCCTGTTGCAGGGCCAGGCAGCTGGCGCCGTTGGTGCACGGATTTCCATTCGCTGTGCAGGGATCTATGGTCACATCGCACTGATCGCCGGTGTAGCCGCTGCGACAGAGGCAGGTCACGTTCTTGTAGCCCGGCTCGTTCTTGCACATGGCTTGGGCGGGGCAGGTGTCATTGCCACAGTCGCTGGCCTCCTCCTGGCAATTGATGCCCGAGTAGCCGATGGGGCACTCGCAGCGATAGCCCTGTGGCAGATCCTTGCACTGACCTCCGTTGAAGCACGGCTGTGAGGCGCACTCGTCGATGTCCTGTTCGCAGCGGCGGCCAGAGAAGCCAGCCGGGCAGAAGCACTGGATGTCATGGCCCATGGGCACGCAGAGTCCGCCATGCTGGCAGGCACCGTCTCCACAAACCACGGGCTTGCACTGCTCGCGTCCCTTGGCGCCGGCGGTGTCGGTGCGCATGTTGCTAGGGCATTCGTTGCAGCTCTGTGCACCCGACGCGCTCTGGTAGTGATGCAGTGGGCAGGGCGAGCAGGGAGCCAGGCCTGTGGCGGAGTAGGTGCCGGGCGCGCACTTGGCACGGCACAGCCCCTTGTTGGAAGCGGCTGGCTGATAGGTGAACGTCTGAGCTGGACAGGCCTGGCAGTCCTTAAAACCGCCAGTGGGCGGCTCGGCGCTGAAGGAGTTGCGTGGACACTCCAAGCAGGGCACCAGACCCGTTGGCGAGTAGGTGCCATAGCCGCAAACGGGAATGCAGTCGGTCAATGCCTTTGAGCCCTCCTCCCTGGTATAGGTGCCGGCGGGACAGCGCAGGCAGGTGCCCTGGCGATCGCGATTCTGGTAATAGCCGCGTGGGCAGTAGGTGCAGCTGTTCTGACCCTCGGACACATAGGTGCCAGCCGGGCAGTGCAGGCAGCGCGGCACGTCGCTCGTGTCCATGTTGAGCACTTCGCCCATGTTGCAGTTGAATCCGCGCGAGATTTGCGACTTGAGTGCGCGCAGCGGCGGACACTGGTTGCCAATATTGGAGATGTTGAGCAGGGAGTCAATGACGGCGCTGGCATACGGTACGCTCAGATCAAAGATCAGATTCAGCGTGGAGCCGCAGAGATCGTACAGCTGGGGCTGGCGCACGGCCGGCAGGATCGAGAGTATAAAGTCCATCTTGACAACATTTTCCTCCAGCAGCGACGGCACCGCCTTGATGAAAGTGACATTCATGTTGACATTCACCGCGGAACAGCGCTGCGAGAGCAGCTGATTGAGGCCGGCGTAGTGATGAGAGAGCACCTCCTGGTATTGACCCAGACAGGATTGGGCCACGGCGCCATTGGCGCGATACGTGATGGTCGCAGTCACATGGTAGGCAGCCTGCTCCGTGTTCTCGGAGACACAGTCGGGTACCACAGAGGTGGGGCGCCACAGGCGGGAGGTTTCGCAGGAGAAGGTCTTCAGGGGCTCGCCGTCGGTAAAGCGGAAGCCAGGCTTGCAGGTGGCTATGCACTCAATGCCCCGATCTCCCGGCAGGCAGTTGATAGCTCCGTTGGCTGGCGGCTGCAGCTCCCAGTCCACACAGGGCGAGGCCTGCACGGAGACCTGGAAGTGGCAGCTGGCGCGATTGTTGAACTTGTCGGTGGCCGTGACAGTGACATTCTCGAAGTGGCCAATCTTGATGGTCGCTCGCTCGGGGGTGAATTGCAGACGCACTTCGCCCGTCTCGTCCGATGTCTTGATGCGCTTGCGCGTGTCGTTGAAGTTGACGTTGTAGCTGTCCTGGCGATCAACCAGCTCAATCACGTAGCTCTGCGGACACTGCAGCAATGGTGGGGTGACATCGGGCACGGTTATATTGATCTCGCATATGGCCACATTACCATCATAGTCGAAGGCCACATATTTCACCACCGTATCCTTGAAGATGTGACTGGGCGTGCGGAAGTTCTGCGGCTTGATCTCCAGCCTGGCAATCGAGCCGGAGTTGTCCACGGCAGTCGGTTCGGTAAAGTTGACGGGCAGCACACCACCATTTTCGTCTCGACGCACCACAATCGGCTGCTGTGGGCAATTCTGGAAAATTGGCGGCTCATTGTCCACGCAGGGCGAGTAGCCGTAGTCGTAGCCCAATAGCGGCTCCACCTTTGGCTCCTCGCAGCCCATCAGCTCGAACTTCAGGCAGGCATTGTCCATGTAGCTGACGATGCCCAGAATAACGAAACGTGCCTGCACGTACTTGGGCAGGGTAATCATGGCCAGTTCACCGTAGTTGCCGGGATCACGCATGGTTAGATTAAAGTTGGGGAAGTACACCACATAGTTCTCACTCTCCGCCTGCTTGTAGAAGAAGCGTATCTCTGTGGGACGCCCAACAATATCGTTGGTCACAACGCCCTTGACTAGGATTGCCTTGACGCGGTAGATCTGTCCCAGATCCACGCTGACGTAGGTAAACGCTTCCTGCTTGCCGCACCAGCCCGTGGCCGAGTTCAGGCGGATGTTCTTGGCCTCATAGTTTGGTCGCTCCGATGTGGCATTGATGGCTGAGTCGGGTATTTTGCCTGAGCTCAGACCCAACGGCTTGATCACCTTGCACTCCGGTTCACGTATGCACGTAATTGGCCTGGGGTTGATCAGAATGTAGCCGGGACGGTTGCAGCCGAAGTAAACCTCCGAGCTCTGTTCGTAGCTGCGCGCCAGCTGACGTCCATCGGCTGGACGGCCTGGATCCTCGCACACGGGTCCCTCACAACGCAAATCGCCAAAGTCCCAAATACCATCGGCACCACAGCGCACCACATTATCGTGACGCTGGGTTTGCCCGGCCAGCTTGAAGGTATTCTGGCAGCCAAAGAAGAAGCTGCTCTGGAAACGGGTGTCCACAAACTGCCCGTACTCGGCACCAGGTGTTGGCATGGGCGCATAACAATCCACGCGGGGGCACGAAGGCTGCATGCCCGATAGCCAGTAGTCGGGTAGACCTGGTTTCGGATCGTACACGCACTGTCTGAATCCTGCAGAGGCTGTCGAGCGTAGCTGACGACCAGGTGAGCCGCAGCTGATGGTAACATTGTCACGGAACGGCACCAGCACGGACTCGGGATCGGGACGTGCCACAGTCAGACCCTCCAGCTTGTCATCGGGCAAAGAAACGCACTTGGCGTCTGTAAGGGAGAAAAGGAATTAGTAAGAGAATGAATCTTAGTTGCTGTAATCGGGTATAACCGACTGCATGAGGCCCATTCACGATGACTTACAATTGCATTCTGGTACGCTCGCATTCCATTGACCGCTGGATAGGCACAGCGCCACGGAGCTTCCGCTCATGATGTAGCCGAAGTGGCATTGGAACCGCACAATATCGCCGAAATGATAATCGCTTCGCTCGCTGAGCAGTTGTCCGTTCTCTGGTGGCTGCAGCTCTGGGCACATCAGTGGCACACAGGTCTTGTTGCGCTGATAGGTGTCGCCGTCGCGTTCACCGGTCTCCGAACGCTCAATGTGGTAGCCAGCGGTGCCGTTGGATGTGTAGAGCTGGTAACCGGTATTACAGGCGCAGGCATAGCTGCCGGGCGAGTTGATGCACTTTTGGTCGCAGCCGCCGTTGTTTCTGCTGCACTCATTGATGTCCACGCAGTCCAAGCGGGTGCAGCCCATCAGTTCCATGCGCACGCAAGGGGCGCCCACATAGTCCTGTATGCGGAAGCGCACGTAGCGCGCTTCTATGGGCAACGGCAGATTCAGGATGGACAGGGTGGGCTCCAGTATTCTGAACTCGACGGCGGTGCCATCGGGATTGGCGTAATCCTTGAAGACATCTGTCAAATCGTTCGAGTATTGCAGGCGCACAGCCGAGCTGAAGGCTATATTGCCATCGGGACGCTGCACAGACATGGTGCGGAAGCCCCTCAGTATGGTGGGTGCCTTCAGGTCAATCAATATCCAGTTTGCGCCGGGCTCCAAGGAGGCGCCACACCAGCCATTCGAATTAAGGCGCAACAGGCCCTTGCTATAGCCCGGCTCACTGGCAGAGGTGCTGATACTATCATCTGGTATACCGCCATTGCCCAGACCCAAATCTCCAACCGGGCGGCACTCAGTGGTCGCGGTGAAGCCAGGACGGCATTGGCAATGGAACGAACCGTTGGTATTCATGCATTCGGTGGTGGTCAAATCGCATTGGGAGGAGCTGCACTCGTTGATATCCTCGCAGCTGGGTGGCTGCTCGAAGCGCTGAGCCTCGCTGCAGCGCATGATATTGCTGCCAATCAGCTTATAGCCCTTGAAGCACTGCACCCTAGCCTCATCGCCAAAGTGGTACGGCCGGGCTGCATCTACCACAAAACCGTTTTCGATTTCAGGGAACTCGAAGCAACGCTTACGGCTGCATCGTGGCACATCGCCACTCCAAGTGCCATTCGACATGCAGGTGAGCACGGGATGTCCGTTGCGCTCATAGCCGGGCTCGCACTCGTATTGGACAATGGTGCCGTAGCTGCGACCGCCGCCATTGAGCAAGGTCATATTGGCGTGCGGCACCTCGGGCAGGGCGGCGCACTGCGAGGCCATGCAATGGGGCTGACGCTCCCAGCGTCCGTCGGGCAGGCAGGAAATCTTTTCGATGGGTTCGTTTGAGGCAAAGGCGAAGCCAGCATAACACTGATACATGGCGATGCCGCGGTAGGTGACGTTCGAGGAGCCAATGGAGAAGCCGTTGTCAATTTGTGGAACGGGACCGCAGTAGACCTCTGTGGAGGGAATTGAGATAGGTTGTTAGTGATAGATCACTCAATTGAACTGTGCTAAGCTCGACTTACCCTGACACTTTGGTATGTAGGAGACACTCCAGTTGCCACCAGGCAAACATTCCGTAACCAGACGCGTCTTGCCGGTGGCAAACTCTTGTCCAATGGGACATGTAAAGCTGACCAGCGTGCCAAAGGCCGTGTCGCGACTGGAGGCCAAGGCTCCAATGCCGGGCTTTAGTTCAGGGCAGTCCGCCGAGAACGTAGCCGACCAACTGAGGAAGAAAAAAAATGCCAATTAGTAAAATAAGTCCAGAGAAAACTAAGAGTATTGTCGGGAGAGTATTGGGAGGAGAGGATAGGTGCAGGTTCAGATTATAGAAATGGGAAATTCAGTTCACTTACCCCGCTGCATTGTGTAGCGCATCCGATGTAAATTTAATCAACATCTCTCCCGAAGAAGCAGTCAAGGTTAGTTTTGGAGCTGCGGTGCCAGTGAAACCATTTCCAGAATGCAGACGCAGTCCGGACGTTGAGGAACCATCGAAGACCTGCACATTGTCGCTCTTATGCACTGTGAATTTGTCAAACTTGAGCGAGAGCGGGGCACGTGCATCATTGCGGATCGTGAAGAAGCACTCCTGATTCTTGGGGTAATCGGCCAAGCCGAATGCGGGCGAGGTAACTGTGCCGTTGCGTGCCGTAATTGTTGCCTTGCAGCCCTGAATGTAGCGCAGACTGAAGCCCTTGCCCGCCTCACCGAGGTTGGACTTGAAGTAGAGGTAGAGCGTATTGCCGGTGGAGATAATCACGCGTTCGTTTTGCGTCGATTTGCCCGTCAGCTTGGCGATGATGCGGCTCATGGGTGAGTCGCCGTCGCGTATGAGCAGCTGATCACGGCCCTCGGCAATGTCCAGGTCGTCCACTTCAATGGAGATGATGCGACCGGGCTGCGCCTTGATCACATACAGGCACTCCAGACCACCGGGATATTGCTTGGGATAGTTGGGGCTCGTCAGTATTTGCCTCTGCAGCGTCGCCTTCAGGGTGCCGCCGCAGTTCTTGGCCTCTGTCTTCCATGTGGCCCGGAAACCTTTGCGCTCCACGCTGCCGTCGGTCGTGAACTTGACAATCATGAAGTTGGAGGCGGACACAAATGGCTGTGTGGCCAGATCCTGTTTGCCACTGAGCGTGGCCAGCGACACGGCCTTGTCCTCAGTGCGTCCGCCGACCAGAACTTGGACCGTATCAAACGTTTTCTCAGTCTCAAAGTCCTGGAACTGCAGGATGATGTTGCTGCCCAACGGACCCTCCAGCGTCCACTTGCACTTGCTCAGCGCTCCATACTTGTGCGGATAGTTGGGCGTCTCGATGACATCGCCGCCCGACTGCATGTGGAAGTGGCACTGGGCGGGACAGTCCAGCTCGTCGGTGCCGTCGCCGCAATCGTCGCTGCCGTCACACTTGAAGGCCTGATTGATGCACAGTCCATTGGCGCAATGCAGCGCCCCCTGGGGACAGGCCGGAGCACGGCACATGAAGGGCAGCAGCGACTCGCAGGTGCCCAGATCCCAGCTCTGTGACTTGCCGCCAAAACTGGCCGCCACACACTCGCCCGACTCAGCATTGGGCTGCTGCAGAGACCAAAAGCCCGAGTACTGGGAGATCAATGCGCCCGATGCCGACTCTAGGGTATTCGTGCGCAGATCGTCGAGTGAGGCCAGGCCCAGCCAGTACTTGTCCGAGGCCCGCTGATTGGGATCACTGGCACGTGCTATCGCCAGCGTCTCATTGTTTTCCGCATAGCTATCGATGGCCACCAGCTCGGCGCCATATCTGCGAAGGGAAAGAGTAAGAGTTGAAGAGGATGTCAGTGATTAGTGGTGGTAGAGACCAGAGAGCTGCAGGTCTTGAATCTCTAAGTAGCTGTCTCATGCTTCCGCTGCACACTTAACGCAATTTCAATTATGCAGCTGCAGTTTTCTAATGCGCTTTACTTTCTATTTTATCTGCTGCCGACTTAATTATGTTGTTACCGAAAACAGAATAGATAAAGCAACAACAAAGCGCTCAACACAATGGAAAACTTTCGTTTCCAATCCGCAAAGCTCCAGTTTGTTAAAGTCCACAGTTCGACTTGGTGCGTTCTACGACAGCTGCAAGCCAAGAAGCAAAAGAAAACCAGTTTCGAATCCCAAATTATCCGCTGTATGTTTGACTCATGGGCTTAGCTGTGCATTCAAATCTGGTATATTACACATACGCAGCGTGGGGGCGTTATAGGAGTGACAGCTGTCGCACGCTGCAGCTGTTGGGCCTGCTTGCATGCCAAAAATTATGCATGTTGCACTCACTGCATCCCTGCAACACCCATCCGCAGCAGGCCCCACCGCCCTGCCCACCCGAAATACATAACTGGCAATTGTACAGCTCCAATACCAAGTGAAAACAGAAGACCGGGCTGAGTACATATTTGAGTAACTGTGTGTGGCTTTGTGTGCATGCCGGTGGAATGCGTTGCTTGCCATGTTCGGCTATTCAGTTAACAATTTTGTTGTCTGGTATTATTTGCACGTCTGTACTCGCTTATTTTCACCACCATCGTGTTAAACATTTGAAAATTTACTCAAGCCTCATGCGTGGAACAACATAATGATATGTATGCGCAGTGTACCCGTGTATAAATAAACATTTTCTAAATATATGTATATAATTTCTGAAATAACATTTGATGTTTAACAATTGACATGAATGGAAAGTATTTTGTAAATATATTGAAAATTAATTTATAAATTAATTTTGAATTATTTCAACGATAATATAATAAAAGAATTCAGAAATTAGAAATATGTA